CGCTCCAGTTTTCTTTTCCGCGAAACGCTATATTAAGCACTATAATTCGAACGATCTTAAACTTAGCAGGCACAGTCTCGCATTACCAAATAATTATGCTTTTGCGTCACGAGAACTCATTTCTAACACGTGAATGATGCTCGACATTGATATGCGTAGGGTTCATTTGTTCCTGCAAAAACACTAAAAAATACGCGGCAACGCTTCAAGTGTAGTCAAGTCGCATTACAGTTACTATGCAGGACGCATTAATGTTTGAATATCGTACGAATTTGTATATTTATCCTTGAGACAGTTCATCTGAAAAATGCATTTTTCTACGTACATTCAAAGTCAAAGAAGCGTTTGGCAGAGACTTGAAATAGCATTCCTTTATTCGTAACTGTACGTTTGCATTCACAAATCCATTGAAACTAAAGACAAAAATGCGAACATAAATTCGTACCCATAAATTCATGGATAAAATACGAGACTGGATAGACTTAATAAAACGCGCGAAACTGAATAAAATAAAATTTCAATCACGTTTCAATTAACGAGCTCGTTCTTCCCCTCTTGTGTTCTAATTTTAACCCTTTACACGATCGATCTATTTAACTATCTGTTTATACAAACTGCAAACCTATCAAAACGAGTTCTTTATTGTTTCGTCGTAACGCACATTCTACAATGGGAATCGTTACGAGTGATGAAAGAATGGCAAGGAGGGGAACGAAGTTAAAATTCAGCAATTTGCAACTTGTCGCGACTATTTTGTATATGACTACTGGCTCCGCGATACGTGCCAGATGGTGCACAATAGAGGCCGGGAACGAGATTCAGAATACACTCGAATACCAGCCGACTGAAGATGCAAATGAATTTGAAGCACGAATTCTGTAACGTCGCCTACCGCCGTACATGAATCGTATCTATCGATTTGCAATCGTGAGCCAGACTTGCTTCGATGCATGGGTACAATTGAAATTAAAGAGCGTCCGATTCGATTAACCTTTCGATAGACTTTCAAACCGTTCTGTGCATCAAAGCATCGCAAACTCGGTACCATCTGTTTGCTTTTCTGTTCCCTGCCAGACTTAACGATCGTTTCTCTTTCTTTCTTGCTCCCCCTCTTCTTTCCTTTCTCTCTCTTTCTTTTTCACGAGTTGCTATCTACAATTTAGGGTACACAAGTCCATTTAAATTGATAAGATTTAACGACGCGAGAGATTAAAATGCAGATTGAAAATGGTGCAAGAAGCAAATTGATAGCTTGAAATGTAAATTGCTTAGTTACTTACGGTAATGTCCAAATGATAGCGTAACATGCACCAAGTAATCGTTACGAGCCAACGAACAAATTCATGAATATTTCTAAGGCGATTAACGCACGAGACTTCATTAATACAAAAACGAGATTCATTTTATAATGATAATCGGGGAAATGAAGCTCTCCCGTTGCGTGTACGATTAAAATAGTCTGGAATGAATGGAACTTGTGCAGATTATCATAAACTAAATAAATTTTAGTCTAGATATTATATTATTATAGAGAGATAAATTTTAATAGATATTATATTGTCAACATTCAAACAGTTTTGATGCTGATAACCAAAATATGATCTTTAATAATTGCACAATTATTTATTTGAAAGAACATATCGTTTTTTTGTTTTAAACGAATAACGGCAATGGCTTCCAGATCACCTGTGTTGACATTAATTGACATTATAATATTCAATAATTTCTACATCTACAAATATTTCTTCATATTCTGGTAATTTTAATATATAAATTGCTCAGGAGCCATATTCACGTCGATTAACTCCATAAATTGAGACACAAGAAGACACCAAATATTACTTATTAATTTTTCCAAAATTATTCCAGCGATAAGTAAATCCTTCCCTTTCTAAAATGAGTATTTATTTGTGAATTTCATCGTGTGAAGGTGGATGATTTGTCAAATGATAACCTTACCTAGATAATAACTTTGAAATTTTTAGGTCCCTGAGCATAGGAGGGAAACAAGTGGAAACGATTGAACGTGCACGGGACGGAACGGCCTGCGCTTACAGCGCTTATCACAGCACGAAGGGCATAACGGCAAGCGCTCGTGGCCATCGTGAAGAATTATCGATAGCGATGCGTGTTTTCGGCTCCGGTTATCTTACTACTTGCCTGCAGATCAAATATTACCGCCAAGATGACCAGAGCCACTGTGAATGGGGCGCTAGGTTGCATTGCATCGAGTTGGACTGCTCGAGCGTGGAGGGCCGATTGGTTACAGTAGACCGGGAAACATACAGGAAACTCGGCATAGAATCCTAGCAGTCGATGAGTGTTAACGTTATGAAAGCCATCACGTAACGAAAACGGCTGACGTGTTTCTTACTGCGCATGCGACACACGGCTCTTGCCGATTATGATTGGCTCCTTGTCGATTGATACGAAGTTAACGCCGCTGGTTGACCAATGGCGAAGCCGGGACCCCGCGTGGCGGGTTTTTGTTTCGAATTTGAATTGTAACGCGCTGTACTTTTCGACGACGTGCATATTTTAAGCTTCTATCGTGGCTTCGACGCGCATGAACATTCTCGGCAATTTCCGTGGAAATATTGACCAATGAAAAAGAAATGAAGAATAGCCGTTTTTCTGATATCGATCAGATTTTCCAACAAGGAAACCGTAATGGAACATGTACCTCCTAACGAGGAAAAAGAACATTGTAACGATTCTTTTTAGTCCCTTAACGACTTATAGATACATATATAATTATCGAACGGTGGATCCGTTTCTTTAACGTAATTCAAATGTAATCTCATCCTCCTATTTTTCTATATCGAGAAACGAATTTGTATATACGTACATATATATATCGGGAGCATAAATTTGTATATATAATATGATTGTCATAATGTAGGAAATAGAGATAATATCACGAACATAACCTTGTTTAATTTGAATGATTATCTATACGCGTTAACGTATATAACGATATATCTATATGCGTTATATATTAAGGAACGCAATTGTTTTGACAAATCGTAATCGTTTCATAATAGATTGGGATAATATTTGTTCGATATACTTCAGAGATACTGATGTTATCGACAGTCTAAAAATGTTATAGAAACGAAATTTCGCAATATTTTTACGATGTACGAAACGTATCAGTAATTAAGCATTCCATGCTTAGCGACCAACAACATAGGTATACGTACACATATTTTGTTAAATTGCAGATTAAAGTGGATAAATTTGAAGGATCCCATCACTATGCTCCCATATTACACATACAAGTAATACAAAATATTGTTAATGTAAATAGTATACATACTAATACGTAAAAAAAGAAATGGAAATATGTTAATATTTACAATAATAAAATTACAAATGATAAACTGTTCGAATACAAATTCGTTTACAATACATTATTTAAATTGTATTAAAAAAAAAAAAATGCGCAGACCAAACAAAAATATACTATTATACTGTTACTAATATAATGAAAGTCTAATACAAGTTCTGAAGTACATCGTTGATTGATTATAAACTGTTTCGCTAGCTACATTTCATAAAAAAATTTTATGCAATTTAATGTGCTTGTACACGAAATTTATTTAAAACAGCACGTAACCGTGCCATTTAAGGCATGTTAAACTATTGACATTACTATATAATTACTGTCGCAATTATTAAACTTACATATGCCTATTGTGTTCCACGAATTTCATTTTTAAGAAATTTAATACATGTTTTCAGTATAAGATCAAGAAAATTTATAGAAGTTATAAAAAAATATATTTTTTCACAGACGTGTAATTGTATCACAATTGTTATTCTTTACAGCTTACATAGTTTTGTTATTGACTTGTAATTTTCACTTTAATTCTAATAATAATTATATTGCTTAAACTTTCGCACAATATTAAATTTGCAATCAGAAGATAAATGAATGAAATCATTAATTATAAATAATAATTTACAAATAGATGTATATCTTGGTATACATATACATTGTATAGCTATATCGATATATAAATAAGTATGGATACATAAATGAACATTGCAAATTATAAATTCTTAATGTATCATGATTTTATTGCTTATACTTTCTTAATTATGTTCATTGAAAATTTTGGAATATCAGCGAAAGTGACCAATCAGTGCCTCTATGCTTTTTGTAAATGTAAACACAGATTGTTCCTATTCTTCATTCACATGATTAATTGTATTTAATGATGCTGAGATCTGTACATTTTTAAATCAACTAAAATAAATTATTTAATCCTTTAATAATTGAGTTAATACTGTTAATTATAAGACATATTGATGAACCTATATTGCAAATTGTTGTATACATATTTGTTAACTTTAAATTATTAATAACAGTAAATTTTACTGCTACTACGTATATTACATATATAATATGTGCAACCCATATTTTCTTATCAAAATCTGTAATTGTACATAAATTTTAAAATGTGGGTGGTTGATAATTTAACAAAAGACCAGCTAAAACTTTATCAAATATCTTTTCTAATTGGGTTTTCATTCGTATTGCTAATTTGTTTGACCGTTTCAAATACATAGCAGAATGATGCAATGCAATTGTATAAGGGATAGGACACCAGCTTTGTTTAATAATTCCTCTAATAAGCACTGTTATATAACTTTCTATTAAAGATGTATCTTCCTCAAGGGGATAAAGATATTCTTTTAATGGAATAACTAATTGTTCTAATGGTAATCTAACATATCGAAGCAAACCTACATGTTCCGACCACAACAATTTTCTATAATGAACATCGTGCCTTTGTGCAATTGGTACTAATAGAGTCATTGAGAAACCATAATCGCCATAGGATGTTGAACAAAAATGTTCGCACATCGCAGTAAACAAATCAGTAAAAGAATTAAGTCCCGGCAAATTTATTGTAAAATTAAGCTTCTTGTAATTATCTTTTAATAAAGTTGTCATCGCTTTAGTAAGCAAAGCAGAAACATCGTTACTTAAATACAGCGTCTCGCATAAGTATATAAGTACCAATCTACTAAACCTCAAGTTTTGTGATAATTTTTCAACCAAATCTGGTAGCACTAATTCTAAACTCAGTGCGGCTAAGATAGCAGCTTTATCGTCATCGTTACATACATTATTATTTCTACATTTTGTATAAATATGTACGACGGGTAAATAAAGCCAATCTTTAGGCATTGCCGCTTGATCCCATTTACCATTTAATGCTACATACCGTTCATACAAATTAGATACGTTGCAACTTAAGTTCAATTTAATATCTTCGATATTTGAATTCAAATTTAATGTTTCTAATTTATTCGTTACTATTTCTAAATTTAATTTTTCTTCTGACAATGAAATCCTAAGCATCTTTTTTACATCAGAAGAGCAATCGGCAGGTAAAGATGATACAAGTTTAATGGTAATTTTCCAAATAATATGCATTGTCTTATTATCTAATTTATCCTTCACAAGAGAAGATGCATTTACTATAGCAACTAAAAAAGACAATTCAGATCTTGTATACCATGATCTTTCTAAACACCAATCTGCTGTTACCAGCCTCTTTAAATACTTATAAACTTGTGGAAGATTAAGCACTGCCTGAATTTCTTCTACGAAAGAATGGTTAATAAATACATTTAAAACCGTTGCAAGAAATGGCATGCAAGATTGTTGAGACACAATAGGTTGCACTTGTCCATCATACATTAATACTCCCAGATGAGGCAAAGCAGAAGGCTCGCGTTCGAGAGCTAAAGAACAATCACTTAACAAATTTGACGTAGAACTGTAAAAATTAGAGTATTAAAAATTATTATAATTGGATTTTGATGTAATATAATTTTAAATTATTTAAATGTTTAGCTTCTACTTACTTAAGGTTAGAAAATACTTGTGATCGAGATATGTTCAATGTTTTGATCGCACTATCACTAACTGCTAGTAATGTTTCCGCTATAAGTTTTGTTTTACTCCACTATGAAAATAATTTTTTATGTAGTATATAATGTATAATTATGTTATATATAATAACAAATAAATTTTTATATAGTATATAATGTATAATTATGTTATATACATATATCATAATATAATATTAAAAATATATGTATATTTTTCGTATATTTGTAATATAAAATACTTCAACTTTACATACCGTGACATTATTTAAAGATAATAGTTGTGTACTCCATTTGGACAACAAGATCGATATATTTACTTTTAGAGGTGTCAAACAACTTGCAACAGCAATTAAAGCAGCTGCATATTCACAGGAGAGTTCAGATGCGCTTTGAATATCGTGATTACTTAACAGAAGTTGTAATTGTGACACAAGAAATAATTGTGCTCCTGTTAAACTATCCGTTGCATCTTCATACAATAGTAATGTTCTCCATAATCGTAAATTTTCGATAATAAGATTATAACTTGATTTTCTATTAAAAAATTATGATCTATATATATATATATAATCTTTTTACAAAAAATTTTTACGTGAAATTATAATAAAAAATTACCCTGCATCGCAACTACCGTATGATATAATACGCTGCATAATTTTAAGATTATTTAATTTTTGAGCAACATATTTTCCTCCATAACAAAGTAGTATACGACAAAATCTAATTGCAGCTACTACTGGAACTCCATAAACATTATTTATAGTATCTGTCATTGCTGTAAATATAAAAGATGTATTAATTCAATATTATTATATTTAAATATAAGATATTTCATAGTATTTAAATCAAATATATGAACCTAATGCATCCGTAGACAATGGTATAAAATGTTCAATTATACTCTCCAATAACTTTGGTGTATTTGTTATTTTTATAACGGTAATAGGCGAATGTCTTACAAGTCTAATTAGAATCTCCAATGCACAAGTTACAGCAACAGGCGGTGGTCGTATTTCATTCAAAATATAACTATAATTTTAATTGGATTTTAAATCAAATTTTTCACAGCATTTTTAAATTTATTAATTTAGAAAAAGATTCATTAACAGTACCTGATCCTTAGCAATATATCAGTTCTTAATAGGGCAGCAACCGCATCTAATTGTACTAGTTCATGATCTTTTAAATCATTTATATCATCAACATCAGTTTTTGGTGTTGCTAAAACAGGTTCTTTATAATTTTGAAAACCATATAGTCTATCTAAACAGACTTCATCCACTTCACTATATAAGAAAATTCTAAACGCTTGTAAAGTTGCTGTAATCACAGCCACTGATGTATCATCCAAAGAAAATCTTAATAATAATAAAAAATTTTTTTGACTTAATGCAACCAAAGGTGCAGGTTGTAATGCTTTATCATACCAGCCGTTGCGACTTTTTTCTAATATATTTGCTAATGTTGTAAGAGCTGTACAACGTTGCTGTTGTGCTGATGAACGACTAAGTTGTAGTAATTCTTGTAGAGAATAACCAGGACGATCAGGTTCTTCTCCATGATGATGAAGGCCTTTTTCAATAGGTACATTGTCATCTTTATATGGCAATAATACACCTGTTAAAGAAAGATCATATTTAAATGTGTTATATTACATATTGTACATTGATATTTGAAAATTTACCATTAAAGTCAAAACGAGCATTGTATGGCTCATCTGGAGCAGGTTTATCTTTTTTTTCTGGGGGTATATTTTCCATCCATTTCAATTTTTCAACTTCAAGAGAATCCATATGCATCCAACCTTTCTCTTTAGCTTGTTCCATTAATTCTTTGGGAGGTTTGGGTATATCTGTTTCTACTGTATCTATTTGCATTGGTGAAACATCATTGTTTTTGGGTGAATCTTTATCATGTTTGTTAAGAACTCCTTCTGTAATTAAGTTTTCTACATTTGTAAATTTTACATTTTGATCTTGTTTCTCAGTACTTAATCTTTTGTCTTCAAAATTCTTCTTTGTATTTTGTTTTTTATTTCTTCTATCTTTTAAAAACTGTATTAGTTCTGGCTTTAAAGTCATCTCAAGTTTACTCTTTTCTTTAAGAATATCTTCCTGACTCATCTGGCTTAATCGTTCCAAATTTTCTTTATGTATTTCATTAGCCCATGGTCCTTCTACGATAACACTATTATCAGTACTACACAAAGATCCAGAATTCTGAGATTTTTCTATTTTGTTATTGCTTTCAACAGAAATTTCTTGCATAAATAAACTTTCATTTTTACCATTTTTCTGAAAAAGCAACAAAAAGCTTAGATTTTACTTAAATGTATTCTGAAATATTTCTATTACATCTTTAATTACATAATAAAATATGTAAATACCATATGTTTAGAAACAAAAACTTCAGGAAAACCATTATTAGAACAAGTAAATTTCCTTTTATGGAATTCATACTTGTGTGCATCATATTTCTTCTCAATGATGTTTCCTAATATTATCTTTGAGGATGTTATTTCTATATTTTGAACAGAATCCTTTATTCCAAAGTTGAGATTTTTTTCGACTTCTTTTATTGCAGGATTTATAATATCACCGCTAGTTTGAGAAGTAGAAACTCTTTCTTGAGTTTTCAATTTTTTCAACTCAGAAAATTTTGATCTAACTCTGTTAGAACTTGTTTGACTGTTGCTAGAAGTAGCATTTAAAGATTTTGTAGATTCTTTTAAATTAATCACTTTGGCTGATGGTTGTAGTTTATTTTTTAGGAATTCTTCTTGCATACGAAATAATTCTTCTTCATTATCAGTTGGTTTAGGTCGTTTTAAAACTGGACTTCTGTCCATTGTTTTAAAATTTATTTTTGAACTTCAAAAGTAATAAAATAAAAATAAAAAATAAAAATAATTACTGTATTAAATTGCGTTATCGTTATTAAATATTTACATATGTATGTCTACATATGCACCCTAACCTAAATATTTATTTTTAATAACCTAAATATTTTTATTAATTACAATATTTTTTGTTCGCCACAATTGTAATACATAATGTGTATGTAATTTCGTTCTTTCTTTTAACATGAAATAGCAAATCGATATTTTTTAAGAAAACAAATCTTCACATAGATAACCTAACTCACATACATGACACACGATCGACAAATGTTCACAGAATACAAAATGATCCGACAGAGGAGCTACTACTGGTTAACATATACAGAGTGTCCCGAATTTAAATGTCAAAACTTTGGAAGTATATAGAGGGCAACATTGGAGGGTAAACTAACAAAAGGAAAAAATTTTTAAAGATTTACTCCACTTTCTTGAGAACAAGAAGACTACTTTTTCTTCATTTATTAATCGCTTCCGAAGTTTTGACATTTAAGTTCGAGACATCCTGTAATACTTATAATATGACTAAAATAAACTTTATAATTATAATTAAAATCATAGAAAGTTTATTAATACTAAACATCCGATACTGCATGCATATATCTATTCTCTTCTTATATTTTCATATGAAGATATAATATGTATATTTTATGATTGGTGAATATGTAAGAGCAGGATTATTACAGAAAATGAGTAATACTTAAAGAATATGTAAAATACTGTAAATGTTAATATATATATATATATTGTTATTATTAATATTTTAATCTTCATAGTACAAAGTTTTTGAACACAAAAAATTCAAATAATTCTCCTATAGAGACATTAAAAATTGTTATTTTCTCAAGATATTAGGTTAAAAATAAATTTGTATTCCTTTTTTAATTCGTTTGTAAATAGCGTTATAATTTTGTTCAAAAAAATGCATCTTATAATTCCGTTTATATTAACTCATTGACCTATCACAATGAAATTAATCTTATTTTTATAATTATGTATTTATATCGTAGTAGTTTACTGTAGTAAATTACATTCTTTATTTCTAAAATGATGATAAGCCAATGAGTTAGTAAAAATATGAAAATAAAACTTACAAACGAATCAATGAAAAAATTTCAAACTTAATATTATAGTGTAAGAATCTCAGATGCTCGAGACTCTAACAAACGTTCCATTGAATTAACGTCTTTACACCATCCATCGAGTCGTTGAACCATACCAGCTATTTGTGTACGATCTAATACACGCGGCTGTACCCATGTCATATTAACTGTTCCAGCTACTTGATCAATAGCACCACGAACTAAACCTTGAGCCAAAGCTTTCATTACTAATAATTCTACTTCACCTAGAGGCAAACGAGTTTCTTGAGAAATTTCTGCAAATGTTAACTGCCTATAATAAACAAAAGAAATTTACTCAATATACATTTGTTTTACATTATTTAATTCACAATAAAAAATATACAAACCTGTTGTTAGCTTGCCTTTTAAAGGTCATTTCCATGAGGCATAGAAGAGATATCTTCTGCCTCAATTTTAATTCCTGCGCAGCTAAATCAGCAACTTTGCTCCATTGCGGCTTTAACTTTTCAAGCGCAACAATGTCACCAGCATTGAAAGCTTGTAATAAATCAACTAACCAAGAGTTTGGAGTACCTTTCAAGGATTGTAAAACTGGATGAGCCAATAATTCTCCAAGATTATAGACTCCTTCACCCAAAAGTGCAGCTAATCCAAGGAAAAATGCATGCTGTTCTTGCTCTTGTCTGCTTAGATTATTCAAATCAATACAACCTAAATATCTGCAATGCAAATAATATATGATAAATGTTACAAAAATAGAGTCCATTATTTAAAACTTGCAAATATAACAATACCTTAAAGCAGTACGATAATATTCAGCATGTTTTCCTTGAAGACGATAAAGACGACTAGCTAATAAATAAAATCTACCATGAACTGTTGTAATACCATCAGCATTATCCAACATAGTCTCAACTTCTTCTATAATTTGTTTTGCTTGCTCCTGGTTGTTTAACTTCTCAAGTAAAATCTGTCCAGTTAGAACTTTACACAAAGCGACCGCTTCATTGCTGCTTTTAACTTTAGACTCTGTTTTCTCCAAGAATTTAATTGCTTCTTGTTTATTTTGAAATTGTTGTATTACACAGGCCAATATTTCTACCAATGACAAAGGATTTATCCTAAACATGAAAATAGCATGAAAATAGACAAATAGCATAAACGCAGCAACAGAATGATGATCTACTATTATGATACACGACTGGAATAAGTAAGGTTATAAATTAATATTTTGAAAAATCTGTATATGATGTATTTACTTGTTTTCAAAAGTAGATAAGAAGTTGACGTACAACTGTACCAACTTATCTCCTTTCTGAAGCGCTGGATGCTTCACAAATGTCTCTAATTTAAGTGTCAGCTGATGCCAAAGCCTGCAAGTCACCAAACGATGAGATTCAGATAAACTTTTTTCTATTGGAACAGACGTCTAATATGAAATATTTTACAAAAAAGAAATACCTTTTATTGTATAATTCTTCCAGTTGTGCCCACTCTGCAGCCAATTCTTTGTCTGCAACATTTTGATTTTGACTTAAATACGTATTAACATCTTTCGGTGCCACGGCTGCCGCCATCTTTAATAACAATGACCAAAGCCGAATCAGCGTAATCAATTAGCTGGTGTAGTATCACCAATATTCTAAGAAAAAGTAGCATAACATTTTATATATTTTACTAAAATTTATTAAAATTCATTTTAATAAAAAAAACGAATAAGACACATGTATCTTTCATGTTCAAGAAATTCAAAAAGTGCCAAATATATTCTACTTTTTGTCAAAAATTTGAATTTATATAAATTATTTATTTAAATTCTATATGAATATACAAATACTAAATATTATTTACAGCTGCATCGTTTACGTAAACGATCAGTTCAGGAATTTAATTTTTAATACACGACAAGAATAAATTGTATTGGAAGTTTATGTATCGATGCAATACAACCTTTAAACTTGTAATTCATTCGAACAAGATGTAAAAAAATGATTGGACAATTGATGAACTATAACGTATAACGTTAATTAAATAGCAATAATTTCAATTATTCAATTATTCAAATTTCAGTGAAATGTAATTTCTTTTTTAAATGTAAATTTTTCTAGATTCGTTCGATACACGTTCGATAGAGAATTCGAGAATCGTACCTCTCGAAGAGTGTGAGTCAAAATAAAGGCAATGTATTACACATATATAGTGTCAACCCAATAGTACTCACTTGTAAATTGTAAATATGATAGCTATGCGGGAATATCTGCATGGCAAATTATATTTAAACAGTTGTCTGTCGACGAAAATATGATTCACAATTCATTTGCATTATCGAATCTGGATGTTTATCAAAAAGTTTATAGTTTTGAATCGATAATTTTTTAGTCCAAAGATAGTTAGGATTAAATAAATTTACGTACATATATAGATTACGGAAACAGTAGTTAATACAATTGTACATAATTATTTAAGATGTTAAGTATTCACAAGATTTTAATGGTGATTACTCTTATATTTAATTGTCATCAAGCTATCTCTTCTCAGACTCTATCATTTTCTTCTGTTGTTATTGATGCAAACTATACAATAGAATATCAGTACATCATAAACAGTACTGTTGAATATGTGTTTTTATATCCTGTTAGTAATGTAAGTATAAGAATTTTATATTAGCTAATATTGCCACGTTTTACCATAAGCTTTTTTTTACATGTTGCTTATTCTTAGGTAACAGCAAGAATAGAAGTTGAAAGCAATGCTCCTATTGATCTACCTCTTATAGTGGTTGTTCGTCAAAAGAGAGAAATCTTATCTTGGCAAATCCCCCTTGTAGTGAATAGTATGTATTTTGATGATTTAGCATATAATAAAACAAGTCAAACTTTATGTTCGATCAATTACAATCAAAGTGGATTAGAAAAGGAAAAAGAATTCATTACCGTTAGTTTATCCACTGCTAATTACCAAAATATTTCATTTAAACTTAATATGACAAAACAAGATGATTTTTATATAAGGTATGTCATACAGATTTATTATATATTATTACATTTGCAATTTCATTGGTATTTTATTCTCTGTTTTCATTTTTCCTTAGTCCTGGAGGAAAAAGAAACGTACAAATTTCACCATCTCAACCTATTTATTATGGTTATACTTTCCCAGGGCAAACAGAAAGTTCTTCTGTGATTGTCCATGTTCAATCTGATAGTGATATTTGTATGACATTTTCAATACAAAATACAACAGTAAGTATAAACCCTATAATTTTTGAAATTGTATTAATGTTAGTTTGTATTTTCTATTTCAGTGCCCTGTGTTTGATTTAGAGAGGAATATTCAATTTTCTGGTTACTGGCAAACTGTAAACCGACAGGGTGGTATAACTGTGCCAGTAAATATTTTTCTTGTTAAAATATATATTTTCTTTAATACATTTTTCACAATAGATAATGGAATAAAAACAGTCTAATTAATGTTTTTTTTAGAAACAACAATATCCATTGGGCTTTTTTGTAGTACTTGTAGTAAAGAGTGATGATACTGATTGTTATGGAGCTCCCAGTATGATTCCTTTACGGAATAAACAAGTTTATTTAACAATAAATCCTAGTATTACCAAACACGATTATGTTGTTGCTTCAGGAGTAATAGTATCTGTAATTTTCACTTTTTGTATTGCCTATGTTGTGAGCGTTGTGATGTCAAAAATTAGAAAGGAGAGGAAGATTAAACAAGAGTTATTGGATCAAGCTTCAGAACAAATTGATGTACCTGTACCAAGTCCTTCAACGGTGGAAGAGGTAAGATAATATACCAAATAAGAAATGAGAAAAAAATTTTCTGATTAATTACATTAATTACATTATAGTCCATGCCACATCGATCAATATCCATAGAAGATGAAGATGATTCTTCATTGGACGAAGACGATATCGACTTGATGGAAGATGCCTTCGATGATAAAGAAATAATACGGACAAAACTTGTACTTTCCGTTTGCGATTTGGCACGTAAAGCTCCAAAGATTCTTAGGCACAAATCTCGATTATACTTGTATTATCTGATAACGGTTTCTATCTTCTATACTTTACCCGCGGTACAACTATTACTCACGTACCAGCATGTACTTCATGTTACTGGCAATCAAGACATGTGCTATTACAATTTTTTATGCGCCCATCCATTTTTATCATTATCAGACCTCAATCACGTATTTTCAAATATCGGATATGTTATGTTGGGTTTTTTGTTTATATTTTTGACATCTTCTCGAGAACATGATGAGTTCGACAGAGAAAAAAATAAGTGTTATGGTATACCACAACATTATGGATTATTTTACGCAATGGGCACTGCACTTATTATGGAAGGAATACTCTCAGGAAGTTATCACGTGTGTCCAAATCGAAGTAATTTTCAATTTGGTAAGACTATTTTGATAAAATTACATTGCATACTATAAATTTTATCATGTCATTGATAAATATTATATTATTTATTTAGATACGAGTTTTATGTACATCATAACAGTGTTGTGTATGATCAAAATTTATCAAACTCGTCATCCTGATATAAATGCTCGAGCATCAGTTACATTTGCAATGTTGGCATTCATCATCTTTGTAGGATTGTTGGGAGTTTTAAATGGTACAATATATTTTTTGGTTCTGTTTACGGTCGTACATTTGCTAACTTGTCTTTATATGACTATTCAAATTTACTACATGGGGCGGTGGAAAGTTAAAGAATTCTTAAAGAGAATAATACAGGTAACTTCATACACTTTGATACTTGAATCTAATATTTCTGTTTAATCTTGATCTAGTCACTTCTGTTAGGCACAATTTATCACTGATTTCATAATTTTCCAGATTTGCAAACACGATGCCCAACCTGGGTATAGATATTTGTTTCGACCTTTATATATGGGACGTTTTATCATACTTGTTGTAGCAAACTTATGGAATGTTGCTCTCGCAGTACTTGGGAATATGCATAGCGAGAAAAACTTTGCAACATTCTTGTTGGCCGTATTAATGTCTAATTTAATTTTATATACCTTTTTTTATATTTTTATGAAGGTATGTCACACACACACATGAATGATTATATCTATATAGTTTGCCTATATATTATGAATTAATTTACTTCGTAATATTTCAGATTTGTCATAAAGAACGAATTCTACTTCAACCAGCGATTTATATTATTTTATCAATCGCGTTCTGGGGCTCTGCTTTATATTTTTTTATAAACAAACCTATCTCATGGGAACTTACCCCAGCACAATCACGCAATTATAATAAACCCTGCATACTCCTGAATTTTTTTGATAGCCATGACATTTGGCATTTTTTGTCTGCTCTAGCAATGTTTTTTTCATTTATGGTATTGCTTACTCTAGATGATGATCTAATTGATGTGCATCGAAGTCAAATTTCAGTCTTTTGAGGACAATGGCATGAATGAATTGATAATATAGAGAAGTATTGATAATTTTTTTTACAACTCTGACGATATGATTGCAGAATAATATACATCTGAACTTGATATTAATAAATTAAAAATAGTATAAAATATATATATGTATAAAGGTCATTTAGCAACTATTTTATATTAAATGTCTTATTTCCGTTAAACATTCAAGTTCACAACATTTTTTTTTATTATTTACCCCTTTATTCGTATTAAATTGTTTCTAAAGATCAAAGAATTTTTCTTTATTTCATATTGAAAAAATAGTACTTAATACTTTAAAAATTACCCATCTGTCTGTTTTTCTGTTTATCGACGGAAATGGGAAATATTGATGTACACGTTAGTCATTCGGTAAAAATAAACGCAACGAATAAACTTTTTTTCTAAAAAAAAAAAAAAA